GGTAGACAGGGTCTAACGGGAGCACCCGAGCCATACGGAGCATATCCAGTGCGGGGCGCTGGAAAAGAAGATTGATTGCTGAAGCGCAGGGCGTTTCTTGGTTGACAACGTTTTCTGGATCTGCAGGGCAGACCTTATCAGTTTTGAACCTGCAGGGCAGGTTACCAGTGTGGACAGGGTCCAACCTGTTTCACAAGGGTTAAGGGTGGGATACCCTTGTCCGTGCATTTTGGATGCTTCCCTTTGAGCAGCCTTGTAAGAGGGATCCTATACCGTACAAAGCCTGATGCGAACTGTGAGCAACTCACATATCATGACTGTGTTGGGGGCGGGGGGGTCGGGTGGGGGGGTGCATCTGAGAGGTGTCAAGAAATGCTTGGCAAGCGCTTGCTAAGCACTCGAAACTCGGTAGTTTTTCGGTAATTGCTCGGACCTAAATACACCCTGAGCCTTGCTGAGGCCTTGCTAAAGCCTTTCTAGCACATCTGAACCCCCCCTCCCACCTGACACTCCCCCTACACCATGAACATATGTAGAGGCTGAAAAATCAATGTCAGTATGATTCCTTTGTAATCCGTACGTGTTTATGTCAATATATACCATACAACCCTATTCTAATAGTTCAGGCCCCTACATTACTATCTTGAACGCCATCAGTTGTTTCGCTCCATCATAAGGCTCGATCGTAAACTTCAGCACGTTCCATTGCAGTCATGGAGCCTTCCTGGCCACCACTAACTGAAACCCCAACTCACTTCTGAAACCATTGTGACAAAGGTTTGTAAACTTCTATGCTACAATTCCACCACCCTCCTCTAGGGTTCGGAATTTTCCTTAGTCTTTTGAACTTCCTCAGCGAAGACCAGCAACCAAAAGGCGACACACATGCCCAAGACTTAGGTTCAATTTTGATAAGGAGACCCTCCAAAAAAAGGGGGAAAGGGGTACTACTGACTGGGGTAACTATAGTATTTGTGACTTCATGAAGCAAACGTGAAAAGCCTAAAGCCGCTAGCGACAAGAACGAGATGCGGACGCTCGACGATCTTCCCGTGCACCCTTCGGGCGAGGGGAAGTTGGGCATGAGTGGACGCCAACTTTAGGGCCTAATAATAAAATGGAAGCTACTATAGTATATTGGGGTTAACTTAGGGTTATATAGGGATAATGGAAAAATGGAAACTACTATATTATATAGTTGGTGTTGGGATTTCAGGGGGTAGCGGATAAGATTGAGGGGGCAAGGATTAGGACACATGGAGCCGTGAATGAGGCTTCTGGATGCGGCGCTGAGAGATGAGGATTGAGGCCATTCGGATTCTTGGACTGTTGTATTGCAGTGATTCAGGTGTAAGTTCAGGGATTCAAGGTTTAGAGGTAGCTGGGAGACAGCTGGTGGAATTTTACGGGTTCTGTGCCGGGAGATCCAACAGGTTACCTGAATTCAGTCCCAGGCCATATAATGGGAATAATCGACTTTTCTGAAGCCTTGGTGAGGCTTCTTTGGTTCCTGTTAATTCTACATGCGCAATCCTGAGCCGAACCTGAAAAAGCCTTGCGGAACAATTTAGATCCTTCCTTTAGGAACCCTAAACCCTGAATCTGGATCATCAAACCTAAACCCCTAAACCCTAAACCCAAGCCTTACGTCCTGAACCTTGCTAGGACAGCCCTGTCCACAGTGTCCTTTTGCAACTGTTACACATATTAGGGTTTCCCAAAATGAGGGGTACTTTTTGGGGGGTCCCCAAAACAAGGACTATCGTATTTTGGGGTCTATGTTGGTGTACCCTTATTTTGGGAGAAACTCCCATATGGATTTTCCCAATATGGCCCAAGGCATCCTGTTGAAGGACCCCTGAAACCGCCTCGTTTGATCCAAACTTGTCACGCCGCCAGATCCACGTCCCTAACAATGAATCACCCACACCCCCCCCCCACATATACTACCATTCTATAACATGAGGAATATTCACTATCAATGGATTTTTTACTAGGGGAAGTGATAGACCCCTTCCACTGCCCATCCCGACCTGAGCAGATAGGACTTCTCCAGAGTTTTGAAGCCGAAGTAGTCGTAGCTCAGATCACCTTGACTATCTGACCATCAGAATCTAGGTTTCTGATTGCAGATTCCCTGCTGCAATGGGCAAAAAATTGTGTACATCCTAGATGCTGGGATTTCAAGACTTGTGGGCTTGGAGTTAGGGACCTAGATCACTTTCCCATGCCCGCCAAGCACGCCAAGCAAGTCTACGAATGATTCGTCTTTTTCTGGGCCTTTCTGGCAGCTGCGAGCCCCTAAACCCTAAACCCTAAACCCCAGTATGACTAAGTTGCGGTTGTAGTCGATGGCCCCGTCCAGGCGTTCAGCATGCGCCTCGATGAACTCCCACACGTCCTCCCATCCAATGCCGCTCTCATGCCATGGTCTTGTATAAGATCAGGGCCGAATCTAACCTGGCTTATATTGGGATAATGGAAATAATGGCAGGGAAACTACTATTTAGGGTTTAGGGTTTAGGTACTCGAAATGGGAAGCTTTACTCGACTTTCAGGAGAGTTATTGTATTTCCCACACCTCTGCGCGCCCTGGACCCTAGAATAAACCTTACAGCTGCAAAGCCTACCACTGTGCACTCCAGAACCTTGAAACAAAATTCCTCACACTCCCTGTAGGCCCCAAAGTCCTAAGCCCCAAAATGACTAAACCCAAAACCTTAAGCCCCAAAATCCGTAAGACTATATTCCCCCTTAAGCAGATAGAATATGGCTTTGGGTATATTATAATAAGATCCCCATATACCCCATATTCTATCTACTTAAGGGGGGCTATAAGCCCTAAGTCCCAAAATCACAGTCAACCCTGAGAACCGTGAACACCCTAAGCCCTGAGGAACCTGGGCGATAAGTGAAGCTGATCTGCCCTGCTTGTCCACATAGCCATGGAGGATCTTGCCTTTAGGCTGTGGGGTGATAGGCTCTAGGGTTCAGAGTTTAGGTTTTAGGGTCGGTGAAAATAATGGACAGAAAATGAAAACTACTGACTCTTGGGCTTAGGATTTCAGGGGGCTGAAGGTTTAGGGCGTGGTTTAGAATTTAGGGTGGTCGCTCACTCGCTCATCATGACCACAGTAAAGGGGTCATTGTGTTGGAGTCCTTCCGTATTCTTCTTGGCCTTTTTTGAGCCTCGCCTGAAGGCTTGCTAAGGATTTCGGGGCTTCTGAGTGGCGTTTTTCGGCTGTTGAACCTGGTAAGATTCTATTCTTGAAAATACTACTCTTCTGGCCTTAGGTTTAGGGTTCAGCCTAATACAGACTGCTGTCCTATAGCCTCCTGAACCCTACGCTCTACAACCTTGCCCAAGTATAAAGCTAGGCTCTTATAGCTTAGCTTCGTAAGCAAGACTGGTTACTTGATTTACGGACCCGCAAGCGGAGAGAAAAACCTGGCATCCGAGCGGCATGTCTCATAGAAAGATCCGGACGTGTTCCTTAGTGCGTTCAGCAACAAACGTTGAAGGATGTTCATCGAATGTTTACTGCCCAGCGCGCAATGTTACTCAGGTGTCCTCAAAACCATACCTGCGCCTTCTGTTGATTCCGAAGCAAACGTGTCTTACTTGGTATCCAGCCCACGAAAATCAAAAAAAATGTGAAGCAAGGCTCTTGTGGAGGTTTGACACGGCGATTCGAGCTGCGAGCGTCGAGAAGTCTGGGTGCTTCTGGGACATGTACCTGGGATACATACGTGCTCAACAACTTGGGAAGGGTAGGGGCTAATAAGGAATGGCTAGTTTCCTGATTATTCAAAAAAAATCGAGGCGCTCACAAGAGCCAAGCACTCAGCACTAAACTAAAACCCCAAAGTCCCAGGGTTGTACCAATATGGTGGACCTTCATCCTATGGGACGGAGCCCACCTCACACTGTGTAAGATCTACGCTCCGAAGCTTCAATCTCCTCCTTACATCTCGAGACAGTTCCAAAGCAGCTACGCGGGCGGACTACATAGAGCTGAGCCTTCAAGCATGTCCGAATCACTTCAGTACTCTTTACAGGTGGGACTCCTGCACCCCAAATGGAATGCCCAGAAACTCTCAAATTGCACCTCTAAACCTTTGATCCTATCATCCTAACGTGACACCTAGCACTTCGTCACGGCTGGGTGCCAATTGCAGATAGCTGGCAGAAAATCAAGGTCTCTGAATCACAAGCTGCAGTCGCCAAGCAAGTTGCCCTCAAGCGGTGCCGGTGCAGTCTGTGGTCGGCCTTTGCGGCTATACACCTTGAATACGAATGCCTCTTATGATGACTTCCTTTCATCAGAAATCAGGGCCTGTCCTCAACCTCCAAGTCTGGGCTCAAGCGTAAGCATCCTAAGGATATGCTGAAGAATGAATGCCCTAGCATTATATTCAGTTCAAGCTACCCAGGACCTCCTTGTACACCCGAAGCCCTGAACTCTAAACCCTCGCCCCTAAACCCTGGACCCTAAAATCCAGGCACTAGACTCCAAACCCTGTGTGACATTTCCACTGCAGTCCGGTGTCGCGCAGGTCTCTGCCGCGAGGACATCTACCTGTCACTTACTTGCATCTAAGGGCGTTTGCGCCCTACAACTATGCCTAGATAATCCCCTATAGTAGCCCTATAATCCCCTATAGTAGCCCCGTTCTATTCACTCTCCCACTCCCCCGTAATACTAAATTGCACTTCCTTTGTGGGGAGCCTGGGCTTGGGGCTTCACGATCCTACTGCAACCACTATTGCTTAGGTCCCTCCCACTAAGCCAAACTAGCGTATTGGGGTTTAGTGTGTAGGGCCTAGGGTACCCAAGTTAGTGCTTGGGATCCATGCTTCTCCTGTCCATTGTTGTCTTGGGATCAGAGTGCATGGGCTAGGGCCGGGTCTCTTTCGCGAGTATGATTCCTTTGAGGGTTGTTGAAATAGAGGGCCTTAGGGATGTTCGGGATACGTAGAACAATGTTCAGGGCTCTGTAGGGTTTCCCGGTTCCCATCCCAGGATTTGAATAGATTTCCATTGGGCATTCAGCTGCATCAAATGCGGCAAGGCTTCCTGGAATCAGTACCTTGATGTGGAACAACCCTAGAGAAACCTTAAGCTAGTGCCCGCAACGCAAGCTAGGATGGCCCTCTGCATTTAAACTTCAAAAAAACTTCTTTGGTCCCCAGAAGCTGCACTCACGATTCTACTTCTGCAAGCCCCTACACTCTAAAACCCTATGTGTTCCTGTAAAGGCACCATTGTTATGGCCCTTCCTTCAACCAAACCCCCAAGCAAAGACAAGGCCCATCGAGCCTCGGACGTCGAGATTCCGCTGTAGAAGCCTTCCACCACTTTCCGTGTCACCACGACAGGATCGATGAATCTTGCATGGTGGGCGGCTGAAGGAGTAGGGTTTTGAGAGTATACTAGGCAGCCCTTTATGTAAGGGGTTATAGGAACATATAGTGCCGGGGTTCAGAATGGCTCAGAATACTCCAACTCTCGAAACGGCTCTTCACCATCTTCTCTGGAAGGGGTTATATGGGCATGATATAGCAGGAAAATGGGATTATATAGGGTTATATCGGGGTTGTATGGGGATCATCTAGGGGGATGGGGAAGAGAATAGTAATGTCTACATCCTTCCCCAAACCGATAGCATCATCTTCTTGAAGCTGGTTGAAACCTGGGTGATGACTCAAATGCACCATGAAGGATCATAGTGCCTCGGCCCCAGAACCCAGAAAATGATCCCCGAATTCCACATACGCAAACACACACACACACATATATATATATGTATATATAAATATACAAACATGATTATACATGTATGTATATCATTTTATCATACTAACAACATTCAGACCCGTCCATACATGTCTTCCGGGAGGGAATACACACTTTTCTTAAACACTAAGCCCGAAATCACCCGCCTCGAGTCAAGGCCGTCACAAAGTCGGCGGATACGCCGAGTGATGGCATCAAACTTCACTTCCTACCAGTCGCAGATTTTGGTTAAGAGCTTCGACGTTTTACGGAGCGGGTTTTCGGGGTTCCGGAATTCGGGGTCAGGGCGCCAAAGCTAAAACGATCAAAACGTCCGTGGATGCCGTTGAATAAAGGGACTTGTTTCACAACCTTTTAGGCTCCTGCCGTCTTAAGGTCGGATGCATCAGCGAAGTGGGAATCAACAGAAAAGAATGAATCTGGATCCAGGACTCACACTGTTTTGTCATCAGTACACAACTTGTCTTTTGAGACTCTTTGCATGATTTCCAGAGCTAAACCCTAAAGCCAAATCCCCCTCTGTATGCGCATCCTGTGCCCGACTACCCGCACTCCATGACATGTTCTAGGGCAGGTGTCATCTAGGCATGTCCATACCGTTCGAAGTGCGTCGATTTACCCGATCCTCCTACTTACGTAAAAGCGTTGTTCCTTTTGAGCTTTAAGTTTGACAGCTTAGGAAATTCCCTTACTTGAGTAGAAGCCATAGATTAAAGAAATTGGGGTTGCCGGAAGATAAGCCTAGGTTCTGTATACCCCATTGCTCTGTATACCCCTAAACAAGCATGGAACCTCACATAAGCACCAAAGAGAGAGAGAGAGAGAGATTCTCCTCTTCCAGAATTTTTTGTGGGTCTCCATGCTAGGCTTGGGGAGAGCATCCTTAACCTTTTTCGCTGTCCACCAGCTCCCGACTCCAACTGAAGAACCAAGACAGACCCCTGGGTTTAGGGCTCAGGAGAAAGAGAAGATGATAGCAATAACAACCACAGTAATCGTAGTAATAGTAGTGATAGTACTAGCAGTGATAAGAGTAAGTACTTTTTCATTGTAGAAGGCATTGTGGGAAGCCGAAAATGGGTCGATAAATTCTGATGCAGGAGAGGTTCTGCTTCCTAGGCTTGCAATGGCCCGTGACTGATTGCTATTTTGAATCACCATGTATAGCAAGCCACAATCATGAGTCTCTCATTGCAGCTAAAGTTGCGTTGTCAAGCGCTCTGTGGACCGTCGACTACACGGCAACTCTCTACGTAATCTCCTGTTGCAACTCCAGCCTGCTTCTGTCCATCACGCTTCACCACGTACATCTGAGCCATGGGTCAGACAGATAGACCTGCCGGGTGCCAGGGCACTAGACTTATGACCTTCAAAAGGGCGGTAGGACATGTGATATGGAACCACGGAAAGGGCCCCTTGTAGGTTCCATTTGAATTTGGGGAAGGGTAAACCCTCAAGGTCGCACGTGTGAAGAAACAGCACGCTGCAACATCTTGAGTTCTAGTAAAAACTCATAGCAATATTATCAATCATAAGAATCACCATAGAAACTCATGGCAAAAACAAAAATGATATCTATAACAACGAAAGGCTCCTTCAGCTTCTAAGGTCTAGAAAAACAAGGGAATGTCTTAGCTGGACCCCCCCACCCAGTAATAGTGACTATAAGGGATACTAGGGATTATATTCGGGTCCTCTTATATTCTTATTATACCACTATTGCAGGGTGGGGGGTCTTCCTAAGGAATGTCTCAATTCATCCAGCCAGCTGGGATCCTAGCGGTATGCAAGGTTTTTTGATTCAGGGTTCTGGTGGTAAAGGTTTCTCTTCTGAGGATGAGGGTTCAGCGGTTTAGGGTTTAAGAGTGGAGTTTCGGGCTTAGGGAAAAGATTAGACATTCAAACGCCCAAAGCTGTACACTCTAAACATGGTATTTCAAGCCTCAAGCTGAGCCCCAACTTCGAAACCCTAACCCTGCAACCCTAAACCCCAAACCCAAAACCCTAAATCCCAAAACCCTAAACTCTTCGACAGGCTCCAGGCCTTCCAGTCAGAAACTGCGTGCCGGGGTGACAGAGCCAATCCGAAACTCTTCGGTGGAAGTGGGCAACCAGCGGTGTTTAAGGGGGAGATGAGAAGACAATGAAAGCTGCTTCTATTGGGTTTAATTAGGATTTAGGATCTAAGGTCTAGGAGTTTAAGATAAACTGCGTTTGGCACTACAAAATTCAAAACGACCTGTGCTGGCTCACAGAGAAGGTACCTGGCTCAATAAGGCCTTAAATGGTGGTGCGAAATTTCTTCAGGAACGTGAGAGATTGGACCCCGACTGCAGTCCCTCGAAAGTGCCTGTGAATCCTGCGCAGTCCATTCTGACGTTGAAAGAAGCTTTGTTTGTCATGATATGAGTGAGGATCTTGCAATGCGACCCTGTCCTTTGTGCCTCGCAGTCACCGTAAGGCAGTGCCTAACTCAGCACTTGGCAAGCCCCGGATTGAGCAGCAAACCAACCAGCAAGTCCTCTTGCTAACAGGGCAATCCTAACGTGGGGTAGGTACTTCACTTCAAGACAACACCACTTGCAACTACCATGTAACTTCCCACTCTGCTCCTCCCCCAAAGTCCACATGCCAGGTGATGATGTATGATCTTGTTTGGACATACCCATGAACCTCCTAGTAGACGTTTGCTCGGCATGCCAAGGTTCTGTCTCAGTGTCTCAGTGAGGAGTATGCGTGGCTTCTACGTCCCGACCGAAAGGGTAGGACTTAAGTGCTAAACCTTGAATCCAAAAACCTCAACCCTGAAAGCCTAATCCATCAGTGTTCATGGGTCCCAGAATGCAACAGTCGAAGCGCCTGGTCTCTTACTAGTGGACCTCAATCTCCCACCCCGGAAAGCCCCTCCCCGTATGAAGCACCCTAAACCGCTTGT